CGCCCCTTAGCTCCCCGCCCGTGGCCGCCGAGGGCCCGGAAACCCTGGCTGTCTCTACTCTTTGAAAATCAATCAAGTCTGTTAACTCCTTCCCGCCTCAGAGAATATAGGCCCTGAAACGTGTTTAGTGCCCCTGGCACCGGAACTGCAGTTTGGAATAAGGCCTCGGTGATCCCGGAAAGGGGTGCTTCCCGCGGCCCGATCGGGCTCGCAGGGTGTGTGTGCTTTTTATCCTAGGGCTCTGCCTCGGTGAGTTGAATGAATCGTCCTGTCCCCTCCTTCTCTCGGAGTGTCTGAGGGCACTTACAGCCTAAAAAGGAAATGAAGCCCAGGCAGGTGGTCTGATGCTATGTAACGTTATGTTCCCTGTGCTCGTTCCCAGCTCGCCCGGCCCCGCACCAGCCCCGGAGCCTGTCCTGGCCCGTCAGCTGCTCGCACCGCCACCTCTCGGGCGCCCAGGTCCCGTCCTGCAGTGTTTCTGATCATCTCCATCTCGGCCATGCTTTCAAACTGCTCGCAGAATATCGTAAAAATTACAACTGCTCACATTCTATATTCAGGATTCTGCCACCGGGTAGTAAATAAAAGGAGGTTTTTCGGAACCGGGCCGGCACCCGGGCGGCGCCGGCGGGTTGTCGTCACAGGCATTGGCTTCGTGACCCCGCTGGGTGTTGGGACTCAGCTGGTGTGGGACCGGCTGATCCGCGGGGAGAGTGGGATTGTGTCACTGGCTGGCGAAGGCTATCGCGGTCTCCCTTGCAGCGTGGCTGCTTTCGTGCCAAGAGGTGGTGATGAAGGTCAGTTCAACGAACAGAACTTTGTGTCCAAATCCGATTTGAAGGCCATGTCTTCTCCAACCATTATGGCCATCGGGGCTGCAGAGTTAGCCCTGGAAGATTCTGGCTGGCATCCGCAGTCAGAAGCTGATCAGGTGGCTACTGGTGTTGCAATTGGCATGGGCATGGTTCCTCTTGAAGTTATTTCCGAAACTGCTTTGATGTTTCAGACAAAAGGTTACAATAAGGTCAGCCCGTTCTTTGTCCCTAAGGTTCTGGTCAATATGGCAGCAGGCCAGGTCAGCATCCGCTACAAACTCAGGGGCCCCAATCATGCAGTGTCCACGGCCTGTACCACAGGAGCTCATGCTGTGGGAGACTCTTTCAGATTTATAGCCCATGGCGATGCTGATGTGATGGTGGCCGGAGGTACGGATTCTTGCATTAGCCCTTTATCTCTTGCTGGGTTTGCGAGAGCCCGCGCTCTGAGCACAAACCCTGATCCTAAGTTGGCATGTCGACCGTTTCATCCAAAGAGAGATGGTTTTGTAATGGGAGAAGGGGCAGCCGTGCTGGTGCTGGAGGAACATGAACATGCTATTCAAAGAGGAGCCCGCATCTATGCAGAAGTTTTGGGCTATGGACTCTCAGGTGATGCTGGTCACATAACTGCCCCCGACTCTGAAGGAGAAGGTGCCTTAAGGTAAAGATGGTTTTTTTCTTTTCAGTCAAAATATTTATTCGAATAAGACATTTTATCGGAGTGTCAAATGAGGGGAAATTGTAGTCTCTGGCCTTGGTGTATGGTATCTCTGTTGTTCCATTTTAGACTACACATAGTGTTTTTGAGTTCTTTGCTTTAACATGTTTCAAGCATTTGAAAGCATTTGGATTTTAGTTAAGGCCAAAAGTGGTGAAGAAGACCATGTATGTCTTTGCTAACTTATCATACCTCTGATTGTGCTTAACAACTGTCAGACTGCTTCCTCCCAAAACCCTCCTCTTTGGCCCTTCATCAGACTTGGACAGTAAAGTCAACCCTTTCCTCTTGATGTGTCTGGTCTGTGCTCCATTTCTGCAGGGTTCTGCTGTTATTAAATTGGCCTTCACCAACCTTTAAGCATCCAGGGATCTTATTAAAATGCAAACTCTGACTCTATAGGTCTAGGGTGGTGTCTGAGCTTCTGCATTTCTGACAAGCTCCCAGTGATGCTAATGCTGCTGGTCTGAGGACCATACTTTGAAAAACAAGTTGCTAGTTGCTATTGTAGAAGAGATAGTGAGTTAAGTTTTAAAAAAAATCCCTGTTAATGTGTTAGCTAATAGGTTACCCTGCTTAGATCATATTATATTGTAACCAGTTAAATTAGCTAAAGGTTGGCAAACCTTTGTATAAAGGGACAAATAGTAAATATTTTCAGCTTTTTGCTCCATAGGGTCTCTGTCACAACTACTCAGTTCTGCCTCTAGTGTGAAATCATCCGTAGACAGCGCATAAATGAATGGGCACGTTCCAGTGAAACTATTTACAAAAACAGGCATCTGGCGGGGGCCATAATTTACCTACCCCTGAATTATACTTTTGCGTAGTTGCTAGTGCTAGAAATGTGATGTAGCCAGCTAGATGAAGAAGTAGTTATGTTTAGATGAAACCTTTCAGCAAACTTTATATTATATCCTGAGCTGCCTCTTAAGGAAATATATGCAGCCCAGAGATCAGGAACTAAAAAAGAAGGTGTTGACATCCATGAAATTTTCAGTGGTTCTTCCTGAGAAATGTTTTATTTTTGGATTTGTTTGTTTTTGGCTTAGCTTTGAACTTCATTTATTTAGAACTCTTATAGCCCAAATAAAGAGGATTTTGAAAGGTTATTTGAAGCAGTGAAGTAATGGTGCAGACATTTTTAGATTATTGGGACATATGCCAAATTTTATATTTAAATATGAGAAAAAAATTAAAAATTTTTCTCCATATTTCAAATATACACACACACACACACACACACACATGCACATAGGCACCCCCCCACACACACACACATTGATAAAAATTCTAGGAAGAAAAATTATTTTAGGCTTGAATCAATGTGTTCCCCTCCCCAAGGGAAAAATGGATAATATATTTTGTTAAGATAAATGGAAATATATTTTGTTAGAGATTATATAATCCATAGGTATATATGTTTATCTCTTCATGATGAATCAGTACAGGGTACTGGGGTGACTCAATAATCCAAGATGGGGTTCTGTTATTAGACAAAGGATTATTTTCATCCAGTGTACTTGGGTATTTCTTTCACATAAGCCATACAGATAATGAATCCCATATTAAAATTAAACTTAGTTCTGATAAATTTCTTTTATTTTATTAGATGTATGGTTGCCGCTGTAAAGAATGCAAATGTACCGCCTGAAGAGATATCCTATGTCAACGCACATGCTACTTCCACACCACTAGGAGACGCTGCTGAGAACAAAGCTATCAAACATCTTTTCAAAGACCATGCACATGCCCTTGCCGTTTCCTCAACTAAGGCAGCCACGGGACACCTGCTGGGAGCTGCAGGGGCGGTTGAGGCAGCGTTTACTGCTCTGGCTTGTTATCATCGACAGCTACCACCTACTTTAAACCTGGATTGCACAGAACCAGAATTTGATCTCAATTATGTTCCACTAAAGGCACAGGAATGGAAAACTGAGAAAAGACGTATTGGACTCACCAATTCCTTTGGTTTTGGTGGTACTAATGCAACACTTTGCATTGCTGGCATGTAGGACAGACACATCATTTGTAATTAAATATTGCTTTTTTAAAATGTTATAAACAAACTATATTAAGTGGAGAAATACTATGTTTATATAAATTTATATATTTATATATTAGCACCCAGATACCGTTTATTTATGTCAAGGTTTCTCAGTCTTGGCACTACTGATATTTTCGGCTGGATAATTCTTTGTTGGGGAAAGGGCAGTTGTCCTTTACATTGTAAGATGCTCCACAGCATCCTATTCTCTACCCACTAGATTGCAGTAGCAAGCATCCCCTTCCCCTGTTGTGACAACCAAAAATGTCTCTAGACATTACCAAATGTATCCTGTGGGGCAAAACAGCCCCCATGTGAAAAGCACTGATCTAACTTTTTCTAATACTCTAGATCAAACAGGTCTTTATGACATTTCACCTGCTCTTGTCTCTTTCCTAACCATTTGGTGAGTAGCTGCTTTGCGCTAGGTAGGGTTACCACATGGTACACCTCCAGGCATGCCATTCCCGTACCATACATAGGAAGGGGATACAGGTATAACAAAGCTTGTATCATCGATCAACATTCTTTGAGTAAAGCAGTCAGCCAGCAACGATCTTTTTACCCATTACCTGTCTCGTTCTCTTTTCTTCATATTATCTGTACCGAGATTCAGTAAATTAGTGGAACTTTCCTAAACTCCCAAGCCATCAGTTCTCTGAAAGAAGGAAGTGAAATTGGTTTGGTTTTTCTTAGTCTTTTTGTATTGATGGCAGCACCTAGTGATTAATGGAGATGAGGGTCCTTAGGAAGTGGAACAGAAGTTGGTGATTCAAGACACATTACCTTGTTCCACCTCTCACATTACTGCGGCTATAGTAGATCGTTTTTTGTTTCCTTCCACCATCTCACCACAAGTGCTGGTGTTACTACTCTTCTACCTTGAGGCTTTCTCTAAAGCCAATGGGTCACATTCATCTCCATTGGCTGGAAGTGTTTGGATGGAAAAGGGCACAGATTCACTAGGGGCAACAACCAGCTTCTGAAGGATGGGAGTTGGTGGATCCAGATGTCTTTCCATAAATGCTGACCCCACAAGGGCTTATTTGTGGGTCATAAGGTCTCAGTTGCAACTTCTCAGCTCTGCTGTAGTAGAGCAAAGGCAGCCTTAGACCATGCAAATAGGTGGGTGTGGGAAGATTTGCCTGCAGGGAGGGGAGAAGCAGAGTTGGCCAATGTGCTGTAGTTTGAAAACTACTCTAACTCTTCAAAGAAGCACATTCTCTGAAAGGTTTAGCTAGCTAATTTTTTGTGTTACTAGGGTATCCAGAAATTTTGCCGTGTAAGATTGGAAAACTGGATTTTAGTACTGGAATAATAATTATAATATCAATAGTTAATGTTTGTATAGTACTTACATACCCAGCATTGTTTAAGTACCTTTCTTAATATCTTTTCATTTAATTCTCACAACAACTATGTGATTTAGTAATATAGGTGTCCCATTTTATGCATAAGGAATTTGAAATTTAAAAGCTGGTCCAAAGTTAACATAACAGTGAAGCAGTGGCAGAGCAGGGACTCGAGTGACCTCTGATTCCAAAGAGCAGGCTTTTAAGCTCGTAAATATGTCAGCTGCCCAAGAGCAAGGACTGAGGCTCTCTACCAAGGGAGATCCTCTGGGGAGGGGCAGAGCTAACTCATTTCTGAGTTGGAGGAATGAAGGAGACAGAGTTTATTAAACGTCTCCTTTTGTTTGAAAAAATAATAAAGATGCAGTTACATTATATTAGAATGTATGAAGTCTGATAACCAAACCCAACTTTAAACAAAATGATCCTTTCCTAGGTATAAATATATGTAATCTTTCCAGGTTTAATATATGTACATTTTCATTTATAATTAAAACCATCATAGTATCTTAAAGAAAGGATGTATTAACTTATAGGTAAAAACACTGATGGTATATTTTTCATTTACCATCAGATGGTATGTGGTACATGCTCATTTTAAACAATTAAGGCAGTGCAGAAGAATATAAGTCAGCCTATTCTACACTACCCTCACACTGGCTAATAACATAACCTCAAAGGAATTAAAATGTGTGTTGCCATTTTGGTCTTGCCTAACTTTAGCAAACAGCACATAAGAATTTTCTTTATCATTTCACTGGTTAATTCTACCCAGCCAAGTCCTATCCAAGGCAGCCTGGTGGCAAATAACCCACCTGAAGATCTTGCTTTCCAGCATGACATATGATGGAGAATATGGGAGATTTGGACTCGATAGACCTATGGTTAGTTTTTGTTTTTGTTTTTAAGTTTATCTTTATTGTTGAAAATATTACAGATGTCCTCTATTTACCCCCATTGGTCCTCTCCACCCTGCATCCATCCCACCCCCAGGCCTTTCCCAGACCAGTGTCTGTGTCCATGGGTTATGCTTATAAACATATAGGTTCTTTGATTAATCTCTCCCACCCACTCCCCACCTTCCTTTTGAGATCCCTTAGTCTGTTCCATGTTTCTGTGTCTCTGGATCCATTTTGTTCATCAGTTTATTTTGTTTATTATATTCCACATATAAGTGCGATCATGTGGTATTTGTCTTTATCTGACTGGCTTATTTCACTTAGCATAATACTTTTTAGTTCCCTCTATGCTGTCCCAAAAGATAAAAGATCCTTCTTTTTTACAGCTGCATAGTATTCCATGATGTGAACGTCCCACAGCTTTTTTATCCACTCATCTACTGATGGGCACTTGGGCTGTTTCTAGATCTTAGCTATTGTAAATTGCGCTGCTATGAACATAGGGGTGCATACATTCTTTCTGACTGGTGTTCTGGGTTTCTTAGGATATATTCCTAGAAGTGGGATCGCTGGGCCAAATGGCAGGTCAATTTTTAATCTTCTGAGGAAACTCCATACTGCTTTCCAAAGTGGCTGCCCCAGTCTGCATTCCCACCAGCAGTGTACTAAGGTGCCCTTTTCTCCACATCCTCGCCAGCACTTGTAGTTCATTGACTTGTTGATGGGGCCATTCTGACAGGTGAGAGGTGATGCCTCATTGTGGTTTTAATTTGCATCTCTCTGATGATTAGCGACGCTGAACATTTTTTCATATGTCTCTTAGCCATTTGTATGTCCTCTTGGAGAAGTGTCTATTTAGGTCCTTTGCCCATTTTTAAATTGGATTGTTTGTCTTTCTTTTGTTAAGTTGTATGAGTTTCTTATATATTTTGGATATTAACCCTTTATCAAATGTGTCATTGGCAAATATGTTCTCGATAGATCTAGTTTTAAGTCACACTCACTGGGCCTCAGTTTTCTCACCTGTAAATAGAATCAATAGCATTACTTTTGCAAAAATGGTTTTGAGCCTCAAATAAGGTTGATTAAAATACACTAAATGTAATTCCCTGTACAGAATGGCTATTATGTTAAGAGACAAGTGTCATCTTTTCCATATTAATAAGTTCTCTAGGAGCTTGGTTAATAAGTCCGAAAAACTTGGTTTAGGATTTTATTGTTTTTATATCTCTATATCTCTATTGATTCATGATTATTATTATTATTAAATTGTTATTGCATCATCCTTGTAACCTGTTATTAAATGATGAAAAGCTTTGTCAAGGTAAAAAGCATCATTCCCAGACTTTAGGAATTTCCCCTAAAATAAGTGGTGTGAAGCGTAGAAATGTTAACAAAGAAGCTTATGAAATCCCTTCTGAAGAGATAAAAGGTTAGAAAGCTGCCTCTCTTGGCTGATTCAGGCCCTGCCCTTCCTAGCAGCTGGGAGAGGAGGGATTAGATGACCTCTCAAGGTTCCTTGTAGCCTGTGGTTTTGTTTTTTTGATATCTATTTAAATATTATGCTAATACTGCTGATGTGAAATCCTTTGTACACAGTGATGGTAGAAAATAGCGGCTCCTGACCTGAATCTGTCCCTGCCTGGTTACAATTGTATACTTGAGATTAACAAGACTCAAATGCTTATGTTTTATACAAGCCATTGGGTCTTTTTTTCTCTCAAGAATTTTTTAAAATTGGATTTTAGACTGAAGCAAGAGGGGGAAGGTTGATTAAAAATGCATTCAGAAACAGAAGGATTTAGATTATTTTAATAACTAAGCTTAGTTATCATATTGCAGTTCAGAAAGATGAATAAATAATAATGTAGAACGCAAAGATCCAGGAGGTAAGCCTTGAGACAAGACATTACTGGAGCAGCATATTAACTAGAAAAGAGTCATTGTTAGCAGAGAACAGATAATTCTGCTTCTTTAAGAGCTATGATTCAGGGCTGATGTAGAAAAGGGATCTGGAAGTCTCCCCGGGGTTTGAGCTTAGGGTCATAGAGAAAGCTCCCCCTACACAAAATCACTCTACTTCACCCTAGCTTGTCATGATATTCTATTTGAAGTTCTTAGATTAATGATACCTTCCGTGAGATTTCAAAGGCCTGTATTAAAGTACAATTTTTTTCTGTTTAGGTTCATCCTCACTTTATAGATGAGGAAACCAAGGCTTGCAATAATTTTGAGACAGCCTTAAAGTCAGTAAATGATAGGCCTGGGATTTCTGGCTTCAAATTTTAAGCTCATGGTACTATAGCAAACACTAGAGAGGTATATGGTGAGCTAAGGTGATGGAGGGAGTGTTCTGGGCAGCTAGGCAGATAAGAAGGAAATTACACAGGAAGCCCCAGTTTTCCCATGTGTTTCCCTGGAGCTGAGTAACAGGGACAACTTTGTAGAATAGGAGGAACAAGGGCAGGTTAGTACTTGAGCGGGGCGTAGACCAATTAGAAGAACTTGGGAAGGGGTGAAGCTGAGAGCCCTACTGGGTGGGCTCTGCTTGGAAGCACCAGGATATCTTGCTTCAAACTGATTTTCAATGGGCACAGCCTCCAGGGCATCAGAGAGGAATGTGTCGGGCCCGTGATGGTCCATCTTACCTTACACAGGGTGGCTGGACCCAGCTGAACTCAGGTTGCAGCAGGTAACTTTGCTGCCCTGGTTTTGGCTAGAAATGTCTAAAGAGCAAAGATTCTGTTGGTTTATATTCTGTTCTTTGTGTCTACACTGGAGAGGGAGTGAGATGCAATAGAAAGAGACTAGGCTTTGGATTCAGAAAAAGTTTCTTTAAATTCTGACTTTGGCCCAGCCGGGCGTGGCTCAGCGGTTGAGCATCGGCCTAGGATCCAGGCGATTGGGGTTTGATTCCCGGTCAGGGCACATGCCCGGGTTGCGGGCTCGATCAATGACTTTCTCATCATTGACGTTTCTCTCTCTCTCCCTCTCCTTTCCTCTCTCTGAAACCAATAAAGATATATTTAAAAAAAAAAAAAATTCTGACTTTGTCATTTACTACCCAAGTTATTTAAGTTCACTGAGTCCCACTGTTCTTATCTGTAAGGAGTTCACAATACTTACCTTGTGTTTATTCATTAAGCATTTATTGGGAGCTATTATGTATAAAGAACTGTACCTAATAGATATTGGATATAAGATAATATATAAAGTGCCTGGTGCACAGTAGTTGTTCAATAAGTTATAGCTATTATTACTGTTATTATTATTAGTGTGCATAAGTAAATCAGCAATAGGACTTTCAGAATGGTGGT